AGTTTTCATTTTAAAAAAAAAAGCCTTCCCAAAAATAGTAGAAAATTATTGCAAATTAATTTGCTATTCCAGTGATTCTCAGCATATAGGAGTATGTTTTGAGTAGCTTTTGTCTCTGTAGTGGCTGATGCTGGTGTGCAGCATCTTTTCCCACCTAGCAGCATAAAGGACATTTTACATCATTAATCTACAGGGCATTTTGTTGCAGTGCAATAGGAGACATATTTTAAATATTATTTTCACTCAGCTGAAGCAGTATTTCCAAACCTATTCACATTGTGAAGTCTTTCAGAACCAAGTTGAAGAATATCTGTTCTAGAGCTTCAGAATGAATAATGGATTGATCTCTATGAACAGAATTGCATTGTCAGACTCTCAGTAAATGCAGGTTTCAAAAGATTATTTTTAAGATTAAAGGGTTTGAGAGTGGGTTTGGTTTACAGTGTAGTGAAAATGCAACTCATTAAACCATTGTGATGTTGGCTGCATCTTTCTCAGGTTGGGTCTAGAATTTGGAACTTGGATCTGTCTTCAAGGGTTATTTAAATGCAGCAATGTAACACTGAGTATTTATAGATGTTATCAGTCTTTTCCTAAAGAGACATTTGCTAGGTTCCTGTTTAGGTCATCTTGTTACTATTTAAAGCTTTCTCAAGTGAGAAGTCTGACAAATTGTGCTTTTTAGCAAATATACAATTAGAACAGGCTGCAGCAGGCCCTGGAGAGATGAGGAGCAGTCAGATGAATTCTGTGTGTACATGCAGAGTTTAACTGCTTAATTCTGGCTTGATATTTGAGTTTAGGAACAGCAGATATAAAAATGTCCATTTAAGAAAGCAATATGGCCTCAGATATATCCTCAGAACTTAAGGGACTTCCAAGGGTTTTCTCCTCTCTCCAAGCACAAGATTACAGTTGTTCCAAGTGAGAGTGTCAGATGTGGGGGGCAGGCAGGACACAGACAACCAAAGTAGTGGAGAAAAGGTAGGGAAGGCAGAGCAACACCTAAAGCTGAAATCTTTGAGAATAGTTTCAAAGTTCAACAGATTTTATTTTACAAGACAACACTGAGTGACTGACTGCCAATGAGTTTATTATAGTATCTTCAGCCTCACTTAAGGGTTCTTGCTTCTGTGTGATCTTCACAAATGTCTGTTACGGTAGTGGTAACTGGTTAACGGGCTTCAAATCATCTAAGTGACATCCACATCATGTTGTAAACTCAGGGCTTTCTTTAACATAAAATATACAGATCTCACCTCAAAAGTTTAAAGATGTTGGCCAAGGGCCTATCTGCATGTGGTCTGAATTCTAATACACTTTAGAAAATATGGACAAATTGCTTTACATACTGTATCAATGTCTATTTTTTCCTTAAATAAGATTAAAGCTTGTTTCCTTTGAATTTCACAGCAGTGGTTTGATAACTGAAACTGAATTACAAAGAGCTTGGACCTAGTTTGGGAAAGAAACTTAGAATCTATTGGGCATTGATCATAGGCTGGTTCTGCTTTTTGTGAAATTAGTTTTTAGCTGCTAATGGCACTTTTCTAATATTTACTGTAGTTACCACATAGAGTCAAATAAGTAAACAGGAAGGGAGGGGGAAAGTTAGAGAGCTGCTGTAACAGACCACGTGTTCAGGTCTACAGAAGCAGCTCAGTGAGAATGAGTATTTAGCTTGTCTTAAATGCTTCTTGTCAGTTTGGATATTTCCCTTTGTAAATTGTCCTAGTCCAGATTAAATACAGGTGTTGAACTGTAAGAGTATAATTTATCATCATTTGGGCTGTTGTTTCTAGCTTGATCATAGTTTAAACTTCTCTCATTTTTCGCTGCCAGATAGGAAGAGAAGAGTTATGGTAGGAAAGGCCTGGCATGTCATCATTCCTGCTTCAAATGCTTTAACAGGAAGTAGACATGAAAACCACAAATAAAGCTAGAATCTACATCTACTACTAAAAAAAAAAAAAAATTAAAAAATTTGGATTGCTTTTCCTCATTTAGGAAGTGTACCATTATTTTAGAAATTACAGAAGGTTTTTAGACTGTAATCATCAAAATTAGAGCTTCAAGTTATGGTTTCTTTGCTTTAGGAATCTCTCTTTGAAAAACTACATTTCTTCTAAGTCAGCTGCTGCTAAAACCAGTCCCAGTACAGTGCTCTTTTGAAAGCATGTCGTGACTCATCACTGATGGTAGCTTTACTGATGTGAATTTGTATCTAAGCTAAAGATACTGTTGCATGAAGCTGTAAGCTCTCCTATAAAAAGAGGTGTAGTTCTGTAATCTTTATAAATATATTCATACTTAAGAGTGTCAGAAAGAGTGCAGATGACATTATTATGTTTAGCAACAAAGTGTTGGTATTGCAGTTCAGTAAAAGTAACTTTTCCACTGAACCTTCTGCCAAGAAGAGGGCAGGATTCCTTTCCCTATGATGGGCTTGTTTGTGCTGTCCTTCATTTCATTTGTGTTTGTATCAGAGGTGAGAATCCCATGTGTGACAAGGGGTTTTTTTGTTTCTAATTCCACAGGTTGGAGATATTGTGAAGGTTACGAGGATGAATATAAACGGTCAGTGGGAAGGAGAAGTCAACGGTCGAAAAGGGCTCTTCCCTTTCACGCATGTCAAAATATTTGACCCTCAAAACCCAGATGAGAACGAATGACTCCCTCTGCCCAATTTACACTGCTGCTTCATTTTCCTGGCTATCATTAGCATTGTTTGAGGTGGGATGATGACTTAATGGCACATTGCTAGCATTGCCCATTTTCCAGCTTGCTGCAGTTTGACAGTTCTTTTAACATACATTTGGAATACATACAACTGAAGTCACTGCCTGACCTTCAGACCATAGTTGTGTCATCCAGAATTTAGTTTCACTCCTAAAACTTTATTGGGCCTTAAGCTGGAGAAGACTGAACCAGAATATAGCAGAGAGGTATTGGAAAAATAACTTTTCCTGTTGAGACTTCTGTGGACATTTTCTGGTTTGCTCAGTAGGAAGAGCCCTAATCTTAGATCAAACGTGCAACTTGTGCATTACTGTCCAACAAAAAGCAACAACAAAAATGCAATTTTAGGACTGAAGAAAATTTAGTTTTGAAATTACCTGTCTTAAGGTAGTACATATAAAATGATGGTTTCTTTAAAGGACAATAATTGGAGCTTATGTATTCTAAGCAGTTGTATTAGACACTGCTCTTTTCTGTTAACTCCTAAGCTTGTTGTTGACCTTCCTGAAACAGTGTGTGTTAATGCAAATAACCATTGATTGAGCTGCATTGAAGCTGAGGCATTTATTTATAAGGAAACCTAGGAGGGGTTGATACTTGTAATTTGGTTTTGACATATTTAATGCATTTCTGTTGATTTTTGCAAGCACTAACTGTAGAAAGTGAGCTTTAAGGGGAAACACTTTGGCCTGGTCTACATACAGCTCTTCTGCAGTGTTGAAAGTGTAGTTTTACTAGTACAGAAGTGCTTGTCATCAAGCTGTTACTTGGCAGACAGATCAGATTGCCATGAGGAGAGGTAGGAATGGGACAGAAAAACTTGGTAAACACCGATAAAATACTCTTATTTAAACATTTAAAGACCTTTTCTATCCATTTCTCTGCAGGCTCCCTGCTCTCTCCAAAGTTTCCTAGCTATGCCAGCCCCAGCTCATTCAAAGCTCCTTTTCAAACACAGTACCTTTTTACCAGGGTGTCTGTGTTGCTGTGCTTCTCTTCCAGAGCTGCTTTCATCTTCTTTTTCCCCTGTCCTTCTTTTTCCTCTCTCATATCCTAAGTCCTCTGCATGCTGACATCTTTTTTTTTTTAACCCTTCCTAAGGCATTGGCTCTGGTTTATATGCGACCCAGGTCCCTGCCCCTCCCAGCACTCTCTAGAAAATGGTTAATTGGAGTCAGCTGCCTGAGTTCCCCCATGTGATAATGCTGGGGCTGGAGGAGGCCACAGGGGTGTCTGTTATTAGTGTAGCTCCTTGTCTCTTTGTGTACCTGAGCTCTCCTGCTGGGACAGTTGTGCAGCAGGAGCTCCTGGCTGCAGCTGCTGCGTGCGGGTGCTCAGCCTGAGCCTGGGTGCAGGATCTGAAAGCGCAGGCACAGTGGAATCCTGGGCCACCTTCTTCAAATGGGTGTTGTAGGTGAACTGGAATGCTCTTTGCAAAATGATGGAACACTGAATTAACAGAATACATGTCTGCAAAGATACAGCTACAAAACCTCCCTTTTCAGACAGCCTGGTTAAGGCAGATGTCCAGTGTGGAAGCTGGCAGGAAAACAGCAGCTCCCATTTTTCAACTTTGGAAGGCTGTTGGTTGTAGCAAAGCGAGAAACTTCAAACACCTGCAGAATGTCATCAGATCTTACAAATGTCTAGTGATATAAACATTGTCTTAAGTTCCAGCATGTTTTCTTGTTGATTTGTGTTGCTTGATCCTAATAAAAGCACGTTGTTGGTAGTTCCTGTGGGAGTGCCATGAGATCCTTAGCACTGAAGAACTGCAGAAATGGCATTCACAAGCAGACATTCAGAATGCCAAGTTTTAAAGAAGTCTCTCTGTTCATCTATTACCTGTTTTCTGTAGTATTGATCAAGTGGCTGACAGTCTGGAAGTTCTTGTAGAGCATTTTACTACCAAATTAACTGTGAAGTAGAGTAGCATTGACTGAAGTGTTTGGTGCTGTAATTCTTGACAATAGGCATTGACATTTTGTCTTGCAAAGAAAAGCTATGCAGTTCTCTTAACTAAAGAAGGTCATGCTTTTCCTGTGCCCCAACAATACCTGCACGTTTACTACACAGATTGTACTACTGAAAGTCATCTTCTGAATACAAACTGCACTAAACTCAGTCTGCTGCAGAGAAATCTTATTTCAGGCCTGACCTAGTTACAGGCAGCTCTTCAGAAGACTGATTGTAGAATTCTTCCTTTGCGTGATAAATAAATACTGTGAGATTTGAGAGCTTGAACATAACTTTTAACCTGATTTTTTTTCACTGAAATAAACATCTTGACTCATCCCCTCATTGAATAAGGTGTACGCTTTGAACACAAATACCGTTTTAGGTTTAATTATGTTCCAATACTGCAGAAAAGCAAAGTATTTTACCTTCAAAACTATGCAAAAATTGTGTGTATTGGTATCTGATGCAAAGACAAGAATTCTTGAATTTCTGTGAACCTGGTTTTAGGCCGTGAATGAACAGTGTTTCTCCAAGTAGCAGCGGTGTGGTTCCGGTATGTAAAATGTGGTTTCAATGTAGCATACTGACCAGCCTAAGCTGATTGTAACCTTGCTATAAAATGTGTCTTGGCTATTTTACTATGAGACAAGTATTTTCATATAAAGACTGCATTGGATCAGTGTGTGTTTCTCTTTGAGGGACTCTGGGTTCTCAATCGCTTGTCGCTCGCTTACACATGTGCTGTCGTTTTATGAAACCTCTTAAATCTGAGTGATAATCTATCAGTGTAAATGTTCTTGGGCGTGTAAGGTAACCTTGATATGAAGCATGAGAGCCTACAAGTGATGGCTTCAATCTATGCACCATTAAAGTTGTCCTTGCTTTGGAACTAGGAGCTGGTGTAATGACCTGGTGCCACAGTAGTCAACTATCACGAAAGGCTTGGCTTCCTCCTGCTGTGTACATGTGTATATAGACATTGAAGCCTCTGACCAGTCTGAAAGTTTAAATGAAAACTGTTTTAATCAGTGTCCATCACTGGATAAGCGCTTATTTAATTCATGATTGTTTACAAATTGGGAAAGAATAAACAGAAAGGGAATATCCTGTTTGGGTTGAGGCTCTGAAGAGCCTGAGCATTATTTTTGTAAAGGGAAAAACAGCATTCTTTGTGCCATTTCATGTGCCTGTAAAGTAATTTTTTATATTGTATTAACATCCTGGGAATGAGTGGGCTGCCTTTGTTTTCTAGTCCAGTTTTCAAGCATTTTCCTCAATACCTGCATTTGAAAGTGAGACCTGCCTAAAAGACTGCCTTTTGGGACCAGTGAAAGCGTTCCTGTATAGCTGTCATTTTCTGTTTATTTGTGTTAAAATGTATTTTGGGACAAGGATACAATTATTGCAGTGGGAAAGGTGGCCTTGTATTTGAGACAGTCTTCACTGTGTAAACTTTTAAACACAATATGTAATTTAAAGACCATGATCTTCAGGCAATAATATTAAGTGTAAGCTTTTAAAATTTATTTTGGGGATCATAGCTTGTTTTATTTTTTGTGCTATAAGATTAACAGTATTAAATGAATTATATTCTTAGAATATACGGAGTGTCTTTTCTTAAGATTAGTGCCTTTTTAATTTCTTACTCCACTTAATTCATAGAACTGGTCCCAACATCAAGCCACTGTGTTTTTTTTCCCCAGTGCCCTGTTTGTACAGTCTAAATAAAACTTGCCTCAACTTACAGTATTATTTGTCGTCTTTAGTCTGAAAACCTTGAGGATAACAGCAGAATGTTTAAGCCCTTACTCTGTCCTTACAATGGCCTGTGGGTGAACAGAGTGTGCCAACTGAAGGTTTCCAGAATCAAAGGAAGAATTAAGCAGCAGAAAATGCTGTTGCCAGGCTGAATGATACTCTCCTGTTCCATCCTCGTGCCTCTTCTCAGACAATGCTGCTGGGCTCTGGAGGTTCACATGAAACAGATGCATCTCTGGTGATACAGATTACCACTGTCTCCTCTACCCTGATGCCCGACACGTCCGTGCTCTTCCTGCTCTTCCACCACTGTATTTATTGTGCTCTTTGGCCCAGGCTTTTAAAGGTCTCTGGAAACCGTGACCTTGGTTTACTGTGATGCCCTTGACTGTGCTTGTAAGAATGACTGGTTTATGCAATGGTTTGAATTTCATTTATTATTGGTTGAGTAACTAAGGTGTGACCTGTGCAGGCACTGGAGAGCAGGGACTGCAGCTCTGGCCCCTGCTGTGAGGTGCTGGTGCAACACATCAGAACCGTCTGTGTTTTGGTCAGAACCCACATCCTGGTCATCCTCTGTCTTTTAGTCAATCCAAATCAATAGTAACTTAACTAAAGGGTTTTTTCAGTTAAATCATTAACAAGGTGTTGATACTCGAGCTGATGCTGTATGGGAGGAAAGCTTAAGAAGAACATCAGCCACTCAGCTGCTGCAAAGGAGAAGCCTACAAAGCTTGTATTGGTTCCCTGGACTCTGTAGGTATGGTGACAGCCTCGTGTTTGTCTTCTCTGGAGTACAGATTTCCATGTGATGTTAATAAACATTCATAGCCAACTCTGCATAGTGTCTTATCATCAAATAGTCACAATTGTCAAGTTGTGTTTTAAAGATGAGAATAGGTCAGATACATTCACTGGGCTTGGCAATCCTGCTTCAGGCTAAAAGGCAGAAAGTAAAAGGTAACAAGAAGCAAGCAGTAACTCAGGGTGGGTTTATTTGTCTTACCTGCATTCAGGCTTCCACCAGTGCAGAACTGAAGTAGTTCAGTTACTTCAGTCCAACATCAGGCAGCACAAGCCTCCATTTTTCAGTGCAAGCTGGGATCAGCTGGGTTCATCAGTTTGTCACTTAAAAGATTTACTTAAAAGGTTTTATTTCTAAACCAGTGTGATGACAAACATCCTTTTATACATGCCCAGAGGTGTGTCTGTTGGAGCCTACAGCAGTAGGAAATACAGCTAAATGCATCAAATAAACTGCAGCCACAGCAGAACAGTTCCATTTCTCCACGATTCTCCATAGTGTGGACTGTACACAGATGAAAGCTCCTGAGGTCCACACTCACCTCAGAGCAATCGTACTGATTCCTGTCCCCCATATTGTCCCCTCTGCCTTTTTTCTAGAGGACAGGTCAGCTGCTCCTGTAGCAGCTGTTGAACCAGCAGTCACAGCTGAGCAGGGAAAAGCGAAGCAGCTCCAGTTTCAGGAACCCTCCGTCCCCCCGAGCTGCGCACTCGCTGTGCAAACAGCCGAGTCCCGCTGCAGCAGGGCCGCGTGTCCCGGCGGGAAGGAAATGCTCCCAGCTGTCCCAGAGTGAGCCTCCTGCTCCGAATGCAAGCCCTGAGAGCTTGCCAGAGCCCCAGCGGCACCGATTGTTGTGACTCACTAACGCCGAATGCTGTGAGCCCGGCCTGAGTCAGGCTGTCCGCACACCGCTCCAGCTGCCCGCCCTCCCCGGGAGCAGCTGGGAACCCCCAGCGCCCCCGCCGGGACTCAGCCCCTCCAGACTGACACAACCCTGGGAGCTGAAAGCTGAGCTACCCCTGCTCTGGGGTGTGACGGTGCTCACCGGGGACTGGCAGCCCCTCGGTGCAGCCTCACCTGCGGAAGATCCATCCCACTGCTGCCGAGGCAGGCGGGGGAGCGAGAGGCGACAGGGAATTAACGCAGTGCTCCCCTCAGTTAACCTTCCCAGCACCTGCTTGCTTCATTCCAGGCATTTTGTAACTAGAACCCTCCCTGCACGAGTTATTAGTCTAACCCGCCGCTGGCACACCAGACAATTGGGATCAGAGCTAAATCTGGGATATCCACAGGGACTGGCTCCTGCTTTGTACGTCCTGGCTGGTCCAACAAGGGCAGCTGAAAGTCAGCGCTGAGAAATCCATTACTAGCATTTGGTCTAGAAATTTATCACTAAAGCTGAAGTTAAAGTGTGGATCCCAAGGGATGGTTTATCCCCCACCACTGCAGATTCCCAGTCTGTGCTATCCAGTGAATCCTCTCCAGACCCTCAGGCACGAGCAGCTCTCGCTGGGCTTGTCAGGGGGAAGCAAGGGTAGAAGGGCATTGCTGGACATGCTGCTTTGCCTTCCCCCAGCTGCCCCAGCACCCAAAATCCAACTGCTTTGGGGGGAGTGGCAAGTGCAGGGAGAGGATTGTGTTTTGAACAAACAGAAGGGACCGACATAAGTGAACAACAGGACTTGGGTTTGAAACTCTTGGCACTCGACTCCTGTTCAGCCCACCACCAGTCAGCAGCCAAGCTGGAGACCCCCAGGGATGCTCCTGACCAGTGACAAACACAGCCAGGCTTAGAGTGCACTATTGCTATCCTTGCCATAAAAAATACAAAAATCAAACTTGCCCATTTTTCATTACTGGTAAGTAATGACCCCTGTATTTCCAGACTCCATTTCCACAGTTTCAAATGTATTCTGTTACTTTACTTTTATTTTATTTTACTTTATTTTTATTTTATTCTGTTTTGATCTGGATTATGTGGTTCAGGATACCTGCTGAATCCATTTCTGTTATGTTAGACCATCTTTTCTTTTCCCTTCTTCTTGTGAGCATTGATACAATTAATCTACCGACCTTGAAGAGAAAGAGCTTTTCTCTTTCCAGGTATCGCAGCTGGTGCTCTGGCTCCGAGTCTGCAGTGACGACGGATACACAGCTCTGGGCTGGATTCCTGCTGAGCATCAGCCTCATGCTCTGCAGGGCACAAAGGAAATGTAATTCATCAGGCTTGGCCTTCGTTGTGTAGGGAAGAGCCATATCCCACAAAGATCGAATGCCTCCCACTGTGCCTGACTACCTGCAATAGCTGTGCCTACTCTGCACTTTGGAGAACTAGATCTAAAATTAACAAAGATCATTTCCCTGCAAGAAATAGCACCTTGGCCTGGACATGGGACACATCAGCAGGAGTCTGAAACAGAAAGGCTAAAATTAACTCAGGTCTGGGATTCTGCTGAATGCTCTAACACAGGTCTGACCACCACATGCAGGATAAGCAGCACTGTTGGAAATCGCTGCCCAAAATCATCCCAAACTGCAGGATGTACCCCAGCAGTGACAAAAAGGTTACTCCAAGAACTCAGTAGCAGCTCCTACCTGTATGAGGCTCAGTGATCCACCCTCACTGTCACTAGTGACCATCTGATGGAGGCAGAGGTGGGCGATGGGATGGAAACAGCTCTCCAGCTGGTGCTGGATTTCTAGCAAGGCTTTGTGCTGTACAGCAGCAGAAGCCCACAGACCCCCACAGTGGTGTTTGTGGGATCAACACTGGCAAATTTAAATAGACAAAAATAAAGACACCTTGGGGAGCAGCCTAGGAACAGAAAGTGTGTGCAGGGCAGTAAAAATGTGGGACTTGTATCCATCAGCTCATGCCTTCCTCGCTGCAGTGCCCTGATTTCAGCCCATGCTGCAGCCCCACGGCAGCACCACACTGGAACAGCTGTGGAAGATGGAGGGGGGTGGAGATGATGTACCTGGAGAAGGACAGGCTGATTTAACACCCCTCCCTGCTGCCAAATGGCTCCGTGGGCTCTGCAGTCATCACCCAAAATAGAGCCACAGTCTGTGCCTCCTCCAAGAGACACAAACATATGGAATCACTGCCCCAAGCAATGCCCTGATATGTTTCCAGCATTGCTTGGGGCAGTGATTTCGTGCAGGAGCCACCTTAGGAGATACCAGCACCATGCCCCACTGTACCTGACTCCTTTCCCTCTCCCCCACCACCCCTGCCTGTTGATGCTTGTTACAGCCTGGGAACACAAGATACAGAGCTTGAGCTAGCAAAGAATGTAGGCAGGGTTTGGGCAGAAGGGAGGAAAGGTCCTGCATTAACCTCACAAATGCACCACATGTGGCTGTCACCTACTGCTGAAGACACAAGGGATCCCTTCCTGGCAGAGGCCGAGGGGCTCCAAGGCAGCCCCTGCTTTGTCTCTCTGGGACCAGACACGCTGCCCCAGAGCTGCCTGCACATCTCAAAGCAGGGACACATCCTCCCCACGGAGAGCAGCTCATCCCAGGCAACCGCCTTCTCCTCCCCTTGTTTTGCTGCCAGGTGCCTCCTAAAACATGAGCTGCTTCAGCCCCAGCTTGCCCAACACTTGGCTTCTGTCAGCACCTGAGCGAGTCGTGCAAAACCCTCACTCCAGACACAGCACAACAGCCCCAGAGCTTTGCCCCTTGTACACTGTAAGCACACAGCAACAACTTAGATGTTTTCTTGGCTTTCTGTTTTCCACGGTGCCCTGGGGTACCCTTGCTGCAGCTTCCAGGCCTCAGCACCTTTGCAGCAACCCCCCTGCAGGCTGCCCCAGCTGTCCCCTCGCTGGTCCCACGCTGTCACTGGGTGGCACTGTGCCCCTGCCTGTGCATGCCCGGCTGCAGCCTCCTCCTCTGCCTCCTCGCTGCCCGGAGGAACCCCGGCTGGGCCGAGGGGCAAAGGTTCCCCTTGCCGAAGTGCACCCACAGTGGCACCGACTGATACCCGGGGACCCCAGGAGCCCATAAGGTTGTGACCCCAATGCCCAAACAAACACAGGCTTCCCACTGCCTCCCTGCCAGGGTCTCTCTCTCCCCACCACAGTTGTATTTTCATTACTGTGGCAAAAGGAGACCAACTGCATCTTTACAATAGCCCCTCCATAAAACTAATAGGCCAGGCAATTGGGACAGACCTGTGAAGTACTTTATAGTCTAGACTCGAGGAGTTCGTGCCACAGCTCACAAGCTGTCCCAGCCCTACATCCCAGGAATCACAGCGTTATTTCTCCCTATCATCAGGGAGCAGCACAAGGATGGGCATGGTGCCCTCACAACTGCTTTCGCTGGTCTCCTGCCACCCAGAGCCTCACCTGATTCCAGCAGCACAAGGCTCCTAGGAGCATCCATAAGAATCAGGGTTTCCTTTCTCCAAGGCACCATGACACAGTCCTGCCCTGATTCCAGGAGACTTGACACCATCAGCATGTGTCCAGGGTCGGGAGGCTGGACCCAGCACTGGGCCGGGGCAGAGGCCAGGGAGGTCCTTCGTCAATGCTTTGCCATTTGCTTCATTTGCAGTTGAAAGCCAGAGAAGCAGAGAGCCCTTCTGACACTGTGATGGCAAAACCTGCTCAGCTCCATAGCAGAAGATCCTTCCCTCTACACCGACAGGCCGCGTTTGTTTGGGAAGCTGGGGTGACACATTTGGTGTAACCCAGAGCCCCATTTCACAGGGTACCGGGTGAGCTCTGCCTTGCTGGGACCTGGCCAGTCTCGGTGGGGCACTCCAAGTGCTCCTAGCGCAGGGAGCTGGGCTCTGGCTCCAGCAGGGGATGGGTGGAGGACCCTGGAGACAGCAATAACCAAACAGAGCAGCCGCTGCCACCTTCCCTCTTCCTGCTGTGTAAAAACTGCCCGAGAAAAGCCTCCTTTAATCGCTCCCCCTACATTAGACATTCCAAGGGAAATTAGCACAAATGCAACATCAGTGGCACCGAGGGAACACACCCTGACTGACTTGGAGGGAGGTTAATTAGTTTGTTAAAAACCTTTTCTCTTTAGTTGCCACCTAAAGCTCCAAGCCTTGACAAACAGTGGGGGAAAAGGGTCTCTGCAGAAAATCAATGCTCTTTAGAGGTAAGAGTTAAAGATCCTCCAAGGAGCATACAGATGGGAAATAAAGACTGTTTCTCCACCATTAGTGTAGAAGATGAATGTTAGATGGGAAAGCAAAATGTTTCCAGGCTTCCATAAAAGTCAGAAGGGAGACAAAGAGCACATTCCTCCCCCTGCAGTTTACTGTCTTTATCTCTTTGCCTTAGTGTCCCCACCTACCCTGCAACAGAGGCGCTGAAAAGCTTGAACTGGCTCCTGCAGAACTGATTCAGGATCCCAGATACTGAGCGCCAGAGATGTGCCAGAGATGTGCCAGGTGCTATTGCCTGTCCCTTGGGAGGACAATCCCCTCGGTGCCAGAGCTGCCAGCAGACTGCTCCCCGCTCGCAGGCACACCAGCCAGGGAACACGAGTGTGCTGGGGATAGGAAGAAAGCCTCACAAGCCCTTACAGACAGTTGCCCCTTTAGATTAACTTAACAGATGACTGCAGTGACCCCAGAGAATTTTGTACAGCTCCCAGCCCACTGTAGCTGCCCCGAGCAGGGTGGCACCAGGAACCTGTCACAGAGCTGGTGTGTGCCCATGGTGAGATGTAGCCCTGCCAGTGCTCCTGCTACTGCCACTGTAGGGCTGTGGTGGGATGGCTTAAGCTCAGTGACTGCCACAGGCAGCACTTTGGGACTAAAATTTCCTTAGGTACCTGGTTTAAAGTTGGGACTGACTTCATTCAGTATCCACACCAGAGCTCTGTGCTGCCCTGTGGAGGATAGAAGGGCAGACAGTTCCAGCTCCAGAACCAAGTCTTCTTTAGTCTAAGGACATTATTTCTTTGCTATACATGATGAGCTGTGTGCCCTGCCTTCTATACTGTCCACTGATGTTTGTATTTCAAAAGCCACTACATCATCTGATTCTGCCCAGCCATCCAAAAAAAAAAAACAAAACAGACAACATCCTGTATGCTGCTGGGACCTCTTTGTCAGAGGCTGTGAACTCATCTGCATCCAGCACCAGGATGGATTGAACAAACTGAAGCAGTATTTTATTGCTGAAGCATAAAACACGGGAATAAACAAGCACCAAAGTGCTACTGATCATTAAAACCAGATGGGAGCCCATTTACTGCCTCCAGCAGTGAGGTGCCATGGCTGCTCTGCTGGGGCCCCCTTGAAATAGGAAACCCAGCACACCATCTGGGAGGTGCTGGATGGCAGTGGCTGCAATTCCAGCCCGGAGTTATCTGCACTGTGCTCTGCTCGCACCACCACCACTGACCAAGGCGTGTCAGAGCTCTGAGTCCTATCTCCAGGAATAATCACCCCTGCAAGCTTGTGCCTACATGGAAATGCCCTGGTAGGGACAAGCAGCCCATCCAGGGCCAGTCCCACTGTCCCAGGGAGATGGGATGGGGAGAATCACAGGCTGAATTCCAACACACAGACCAGGGACTCCACGACATTTCAATAGTATTTGCTCAAATGCACATCAGAGAACCATCAATTCCTGTGCAATTCAGCTCCCACATGGTGGATTATCCAAGGCAGTCCAGGTCTGACCTCCTTCCTTACCAGCCAGTGCTGTCTGGGAAGTGAAGTGCTACGGTGAGAAGCCAGAGGCTATTTCCTCTCCTTCCTACTTAACACACCCACCACGGATAAATGCCCAACGAGAACATTCCCAGTCTGTCTACTGAAACTGGCCTCCGGGAACAGCTCCATGCTGAGTACCCCCACCTGCAAGCTAAGCTCAACCCCCTCCCAAGACAGAAGCTTTGCACCTTTGTCTCTAAGCCCCATCTTCCCGTGGCAGGGAGCCTTCTCAGCAGCTGAAATGGGAGCGCGGCATGGGGCCAGGGATGGATTCCTGGAGATGGGATGGAGGGGAGATGCAAATGGAGCAGGAGACTGCTCGAGAAGCAGAGACAGACAGATGCTTTTACACTTCAAAGGGAACAGGGCCCTGTGAGGCTTTCAGGAATACGCACAAATCGATAGACTCCTTTCAAACACCGAGCACATTTGCTCAAGTGTGAGGCAATTATTCCCTGAGGATGGAGGCAGGACAAGGCCATTAACAGCCATAAGGGCAGGGTGAGGAACATGCGGTGGCTCCAGGAGGAGCGCCGGCCCAGCCTGGGGGGCAGAACACCGCAGTCCTGGTCGAGCTTTCTCATCCAGGATTTACAAAATGCCCTCATGTCCCCAGGGGCTCTGAAGGGACACATTAGTGTCATTCAGCCTACGTCAGTGCAATGCTCAGCACATCCTTTTGGCGAGCAGCGGGTTTGATCACATCCCCTCCACTGCTCTAGTTCACTGCCTTTATCCCTGGAGGGCTGACTTACACTCACTGAAGCAATTCCCATTTCCCCCTCACCCGAATGCTGCTGGGAAGAGCCGGAGCTGCTCTGGAGAGCTCTGTCTCCACTGAGCCCCTTCTAGATGGCAAAGCAGAGCCCAAAGCAGATTGTGGGCGAGCAGAGGGCTGGTGGCTCAGCATGGGGACAGACCCCACGGTGTGACAGGAATCACGCCTGACTCATCCCTGTCTACTCTGCACCAGCACTTCCACACAGATTACCCTTAATGCACCATCTCCCAGCAAGGATGTTACAGAGATCACAGGTGCCTGTGCTTTGAGACCCCACAGATGGGAGCTGGAGTGACAGTGCCAGCATGCAGGAAGTCTCTCCTGTGAACAGCTGCTGTTTTACATGTACAGTCATATTTGTACAACGAGAGGCAGAGATACTGAAAGTGAGCAGTGCTTTATGCCTGGTGCATGACTGATGGGAGTGCCCATCTTGTATCACTGGCTGCCCACTCTGCTTTATGGAGGCACATGATTTACCCTCTTCAGTAAAAATAGAGGAGGAGGAAATAAAAATCTCAGCATGTCCCCAAAGAACTGTAGGAGATTAAAATTAAATCTATCCATTACACTCACCAACTAGGGCGCTGTCTGGGCAGGAACACTGTAGTTGTACACCTGCATGTTCAAAGAAACGAAACTGAGTATTAGAGAAGTGTCAGAGGCAATCCAGCACCCCACAGCAAAGTGCTTCAGGTCATAAAACAAGCTCACAAGACTTGGAAAAACAAAAAAGGAATAACACTAAACTAAACTTAATAGCAACACTGCTCAGCACAGCTGCAGCACCTCTTCTCAACCCTGCATCAAAGGTTTGCTTCACCCTTGGTTTAAATTTTGTCTGACACTTCTGCTCAGGCCCAGGTCTCAAGAACACTTCTGGGTTTGTTCTGGGATGTGCGTGTCATGTTCCTACTTCCTTCACTGTGTCCTGTAAGCCTCTTCCTGTGTTCCTCCTGCTCTAATGTCCAGAAAGAACATTTAGACCTCACTACAGCTCTGCAAGGCAGGACAGTAAAAAGCAGCTTACCTGGAGGGGCAGGGAGCCAGGCCAGCAGCAGAGGGCTGAGAACAGAGCTCCAGAGACAGGAACAGGCCTCCCTCACAGCCACTGACACTGCAGCAAGGTCGTGTCTCTGAGACCGGCTGTGCCCAGGGCAGCTGAGGGACACAGAACAGGCCACCCCCACCATGAGCCAGAGAAGTCCCTCCATTCCCCAGCCGGCCCTGCACAGTTTTACCCCTCTCTCTTTGCTCTTGGCCGCTCACCGAGTACCTGGAGGCCGAGCAGGTACATGAACACAGCTGCTGCCAGAGGGGCCGGCACCGCGGGCAGCTCCGGCCACAGGGTGACCAACACTGCTTGTTGCTCCAACCAAAGGATGCCTTTGGATCCCACCCCAGGGCTCAGGAATTAAATTGATTTTAAGCTCTGCAATAAAAGAATGTTGTTATTCCTGGAAGGGGGTTTGCGCTGCTTGCTTGGATCGCCTTAAAGTGAGCCGGTAGTTAGGCTGACCAAGGAAATGCACTATGGTCTCCCGGGAGGCTCAAGGACCACCATGAGGGACACCCCGGCCCGGGCAGTGGGGTCAGCCCAAAGCAAGGCAGGATCCTGCTCAGCCTGGCTGTCCAGCACCAGATGTTTCAAGAGCCCCAGCCCAGCAGGGCATGGAAATGCTGCTCCCCAGGATCGCCTCAGGCCGCTCCTCAGCCAGGGAACCCCGCGGCCCGGGCGGGCCCTATCGCCCCTCACGCGTGAGGGCTCGGCCCCGCGGCCGGAGCTCGGCAGGTGGCACCAGCCCGGCACATCCCTGTCCCTGCAGCACCTGGAAATTAGAGAAGCTCTTCGTGAAACCAGCTGGAAGGTGCTCGTACAGAGCCGAGCGCAGAGGCCACAGCCCGGGCCGGGCCGGAGGGGAGCTCGCTGTGTCTGGGAGCTTTGCAGGGAACAGCCGCCTCTCCCGAGCCTGCAGCTGCCTGCGGGAGAACTGCAGCATCGGCAAGAAAGCATTTTTCTGCCATTCCCATCTGCATTGAAACAGTGTCAGACAAGGCTTAAGGCTGCAAAAAAACAGTAGGAGAAACCAAAATAAATCAAGATCTTGATTTCCCATAGGAAATTTACCTAGATCCCATTTATAGTCCATTTGCCCTCCTCCTTATGTAACTTCTCTGCAGGAGAGGAGCAGAAAACACAGAGAAAATAAACAATTTGCTGCAAAGAATTGGTGCAAGAGCCTGAGTCACATCGAGCAGTGTGAGCAGATAACCCGAGGCTCACTGAACACGCCGAGGAGAACAATGCTGAGATCAACAGCATGTCATGCATGTACAAACTGGCCCCAGGTAACATGACTAAAGCAGAGCACACTGTGCTTGAGAAAGATGCACAAAACCTACACTTTGGAGTTTATTTTATTAGTCTTAATGGCCTGATTTCCACATGTCTCATTTCCTTTTATTGAAGCTGTCAGAGGCACTACATTATCTCACATGCGTGCAAAACCAGCATTTCAGTGGAGCTCATAGGGACTTTAAATGCCACAGCTGAAGAAAACAAGGCAGTGGGAACTGCAAAGGGAGGGGGCGGGAGCAGAGTCCAGAGCACACCTACAGGCAAAATCTCCAAAGGCTTCCCAAACAAGCCGAGCGCAGTCTCTAATCAGAGAGAAAGGATAGGTACTTCTCCAGCAAGCTGGATGATTCACTGGAGAAGGGCAAGCAGTCCTGCTGCAACAGAAGGCTGGTGAGTAATTGATGGCTCGTTCTAGGCACAAAGCTGAGTCCCTCACCCCGCTGCAGAGCCACTGCCAAACCAGCTCCACCGCCAGGCCCAGGGGCAGCAGCACCTGCACGCTGCTACCGCAAAGGTTTGAAAGAAACAGCATTGCACGCGTGTTTTCACAGGAATTCCCCAGTGCTGCTCAGCTGTCCTCAGTTACTCGTGCTCACTGCAGCTTTTCATCCTCATTAGCGCTCTGTGACAGGGAAACACATCCCAGCTACAGGCAGGTAGCCTGTGGGGGATGCATTCTCTCTCTCGTGGGCATGCTGCTGGCAGCGATCCTGTGTCGTGCACAAAGTACCCCCGGCTCCTTGCCCGTGGTGCACTCACTCAGCTCCCCAGCCATTCTGCTCATCTCATTTCCAAAATGTGCAGGACAGTGGTGGCAAAATTAACTGCTAATGGCCAGAGACAGCCTTTTACAGCTGACCTGCCTTCACACTGCTGCCATTTGGACGGCAGGAAATCACGATATTTTGGCATTAAAAAAAGCCTGCTCCACATTTTGTTTCCCCAGCCAGATTTCTTTTTAAGTGAGTTGTTCATATCCACACGTGTGTCGTGCACAGCAGGTACAAATCACTACCGGCCAGGGTGCCATCAGAGGGGAGGCTCACAGGGCATTATGTACATGCACTGTGGCAAAGTCTGACCTTTATTTCAATGCTGCACATCCTCAAATCATGGGAAACCCAGGGGAAGTACTCAGCTGCTCTGTACATATAATAACTGTGATACAAAAGCAGCTCACAATATACAATTTAAATAAGGAAATAGTCATTGTAGCTGAGTCCACAAATTTACAGGGCTACTTTTCACAGTAATCTTAATAATAACAACGTGGCTCAACATCCCTAGGCTATGCAGATGCACAGTGAGGAGCTGGTGCCCCAAAAACCTGGTGCACAGCCTTTCCCAGCATCCCTGCACAGGGGTACTGAGGCACTGGGCACAAACCTGCCCAGGTCTGCTCAGAGACATCTTGCTACACACACACACACACACACAAGTGTGCACAGAAAACCATCTGTCACACAGTCTACATGACACACCTCAGTGCCCACTGATGGCTGCAGGCCACAAGGCAGCTCTTAGTGTGACATGAAAATATTCCCTAAGTGACCCCTAGGAACGTGTCTATCCTCCCTGAGAAGCAATGAGTCTGTCTCACCGAGTCCCCAGAGCCAGGGCCATCTGTGCTTGGGCAAACAGGGAGGCCTCCCCCTTCTAACAGGAAGATGAAAAGAATTCCTGCTTGCATGGCAGGGCACAGGCTGCTTCCTGAGCAGGATGGGACCAGAGAGGAGGGCGGTGGAACCATTCTGATACCTGACAGATCCCTACAGACTCCCAAAGAGTGGTGAGATGACTTCACACACTCACAGAGCAGCGCAGGAACCACAACTATAAATTATATTCTCCAGGGTGGCAGGGAGCGGGAGAAGGAGTAAGTTCACAGTGGAAAATTTCCTTTCCCTCTACAGGAAGAGGTGGAGTGACACAGCAGCACTGCTGTTCATGGCCCTGCTTCTGACAACCTTGGAAAGCCCCAGAGGAGCCCCCACATTCCATGAACAACCTCCCTCCACCCCCACAGAATGAAGAGTATTTCACTGACCTCGAATCTAGGGCTGACAGAGGAGGGATGGGCACGGGCAGGAAGACACCACACACAGCCTTGCTGCTACTTCTCCTGCATGGAACAAACTCTCCCCTGCCTGCACAACTCACTGCTGTGCTCCAGACACACCTTGCAGTGCATTTTACTCTCATCTGCTGCTGGAAGAAAGGCAAGACTAGCTTTACTCTGACTATACTAACTGAGGAAGCTGCTCAAAGTTCACCAGGATTGCTTGCTTTGCTCATCTTTGCAATATTTTCTACAGCTTTTTGTCCACGTGGATGGCTTACTGAAAGTCCTCAGCCCCTATCTCCTTGCACCAAGTCCCAGGAGGAAGGGATGTTGGAAACTGCCAAATGCGAGGTGCCAACACTGAGATTGTGAGTTCAGCAGCTCTTTAAATACTGTTCTTGCAGACCTGTGCTTTCCTATTCCTGGGATAAAAAAAACACTGCAGAACACATTGAGCCTGACCCACAATGACACGGCTGGGGCAACCACTGCTTGTGAAATATGGTGAGGGTGGTTGTGCAAGGAGACAAGGAAGTGAAGGTGTCCCATGCTACTGCTTGCAGCAATACCTCTGCCTAGTGTAGGCAAAGCTTCACAAGTCCAACACCCCGGAGCAAAGTCCATCTCATTTACAATTTTCTTTCAGTTTTTTTCACTGGGAAGGGTCCTCCCCATTCACCAGCAGGCATAGGGGAACAGAGGGTACTGGCTCCACTCTGCCATGGTGCCATGGGCATGTCCTGGAGTTCCTTGTGTGTTGTACTCCGTGGAGAAGGCAGAGTAGCTCATTGCCCTGTACTGGCTGTGGGAAGGCACCACCCACTGCCCCAGGCCCTGCTCGGTGCCATAGGGACTGTACATGGGCGCCCGGGCCCCGGCTTTCCCCACAGAGTCCAGAGCCATGTTCACCACTCCTGTGTAGTCCTGGGGAGGAGGCAGAGGTGGGGGCAGCGGGGGCAGGTTGGTGAAACCCTCTGGGAGCTGTTTGGAGTCGTGCTCGGGCACCATGGCGAGATCCAAGGCGTGGCACCTTGCCCGGAAATCGTTCAAGGTCGCGGCATCACGGCTGGGAAGCTGCTGGCTGTCCCCAGCCTCATGGAACCTGGGCCCGAGGGCAGAGAGAAGAGAGAGTCAGACCTAGCAGGGTGGAAAACCATGGAAAAAACACAGAGATCCCCTGGGGAAAGGCTCTTCCCCTTGCCTACTGCTTCATCTTAGTGTTGCTGTGGATTTTAGCCCAGGTCTCACTGTCACACTCACAGAAAAATGAAACGCCAGAGAAGGTGAGTCCAGACTACCTTAGTTCTGGCTAAGTTCTAGTCTGGGCTCACTCAAACCCAATTTTGCAATGAGAAAGGAAAAATCACTGGAGTCTTGTCACTCCTCCAAGCACTTCCTCCAAAGGACAGGTAAACTCTGTAGTACACAGAGCTGTCTGGGAGAGCATTTTGGGACTGGGAAATAAAGAACATTACAAAGACACGAGCATGCCCAGAACCAGTAGGTTTGAACTAGAAGAGAAAGGCTTTCCTTGGACCTATACACGCTAATCTACCATCTCTCAACCACATGTGCTGTCCAACAGAAAGGCATCTTCCCCTATTCCCAACTGGTTGTTTTTCTTAGGAAATACCCAGCAGAAGGAGAGGAATCCCACCAACCAAAGTGTGGCTTTGGAGCAGAAGGTAGGACTCACCGATATGTCTGGTAGGACGGCGTTGGCACTTGCTGCTCTCTGGCCAGACCCTCCCTCTGCTCAGCAGGCACTGGTGAGGCTGCAGGGAACGCCTGGCTGCTGTTCTGCTCCGAGCCCCAGAAGGGATATCCACTGCTCACCACCACTGGGTTACTCTCTTCCTTCACGTCTACATTCTCATCCTTCTCAAAATCTGACTCAAATCAGGGGAAAGAAAAATGGAAAAGAATGAGAAAGGGGAAGAGGGAGGCAAAGCTCACAATGGTCTATTGGCAGTTGCAGTAATCACAGGATGGTGGAAGGCAAAACACTGCCACCTCCTGCAATCCTTTTGTCCTACGGGAATAGCCCCTTCCAGCTCTTTTCTGCCCAGATACTGTAGTGGTCAGTCCTGCCCTGTCCTCTCTCCTTAGCTCTGCTACTGCAAGCAGCACCATGAGCTGGAGCAAGGAATGATTTAACTTAAAAAGCTTTCTGAATATCATTCTCTGGGTTTGTTGTGATCAATATTACCACGTTCCTCAGCAGCAGGCTCCTTTTCCTCAGGCAACTTCCTCTTCTGGCTCTTGGCTGGACTGGGCTTCTGGCATTTGGCTCGTCCTTCCCTGGAAAGAAACAAGACATGGGGGTAGCTTGGATGTAAGCTTTTGCCTAAATACATAGGCAGGGAGTTATTAGGAGGAGAAAGAAAAGCTGTAACATTTTTAAATTTAAGTAAAAAAAAGTCTTTTTTACTTGGCCTTTTTTCATCAGGAATTTTTTTTTCAGGAGATTTTTTTTTCAGGCATAAAATAACACAAAACAAAATCTCAGATATTTTCGTAACATTTTCTGCTTGGAAAAAACCTCCATTTTTTCCTTCTCTAATGCCAGTCTGAGGTCGCAATTTAAGCTCTTTTTTTCATCTCATCCACTGGCTGCCCTCAGACCAAGCAGAAGATCTCACTGGTATTGGTATCCATCTTCCCTCTTGCAGACAAAATCTCCCACTGGAAGAGACACTTTTCCACCCACAGGAAAAAGAGACAAGGGAGCTTCCAAATGTCAGAATCAAGCTGATCTCCAAGAGACCAAATGGTCTGCTGTGGACTCCTGCTATCACTGCTATTCACATGTCAGACTCCAGTCTAGCTCCAACGTGCCAGGGAGTGCAGGTCTCAAATTTGTCACACCTCCCACATTTCTGTAGGAATTGTCACCTCCCACTCCCCAAGTCTCTTGAGAAGAGGCTGCAGAGAGGGACATCACTCCCAGATACAGGGAAATGCAGAGTGCACAATGCAGCAGGCTCAGCAGAGCTGGCTGGCAGAGTTTGGCTCAGAGACCTTGGGTAAAATTCACAAGTGAATTCCAGCTATAAACAAATTCAAATGAAAAAACAGTTTACCTCCGAGTGTTCTTCCCATGTTCACGGAAACCTTTAGCAAACGGATTGTTGTCAATCTTGAGCTTTGTAATCTTTAAATGAAAGGAACAAGACTCAGCATCACAGTGACTGGTTGGGTTCTTCACTGTATTTATCACAGCAGATAACTGTGTGGGAGTTTTGGACATGGCTTTGCCACAGTATCTCAGCTCTCCCAGCAGCTCCCATCATTGATCAGGAACTGACCCACAGAGAGAAGTGACCTTGCCAGGGTCAGCAGGGATTTGGGTGGGATTCATCTGACTGACAAATACACAGGGTGAGCATCTGTATCTGGACCTGCAGCCATACTTTTTACTGTATTTGGAGTTCTGTGTCACTGACAGTGCACTCAATACCATCAAGATGGACGGCTCATCTCATCACAGAGATGTTTTCCACAGGAAGCACAATGCGCCTATTTCTTCCCACTGTCCACCGCAGGTGCCTGGGATGAGCAGACAGCAAAGAGACACCTTCCTTCACGGGGATTTTACAGACAGTGTGTCAGAAGCAGAGCCTGCACACCTTACCTGCTCATTCTGGTAGGCAGTGACAGAGGTGAAGACAGTCTCAGGGAAGCTGAACACCTGGAAGATGCTCCAGCGGACGCTGAAGAGGTCGTCTGCCTGCACGATGTGGAAGCGCGGCTTGTAACGGTGCATGGAGTGCAGGATGATCTGGGACAGACAAAGGACAAGGTTTCCATGTGCCACCACTGCCAGCACATTGCAGATTCCCTGTGGAGACTCTCAGGACACCCATTTCTAACCAGGGACTCCTGCTGGGCTTGGTGTCTCCCTGTAGTGACAGCACAGACCTGCACCTTCCCTAGCAGGGAGCTAAGAGGGCACAGGGGCCGGGCTGAGGGAGGAAGAAAGGGCATGTTTTGGATATGTTTTGATTTCTACATCATTTAATTTCCCACAAATCATGCCTATTTCCCACAAAGTTCATCTGCAATGAATTCCAAGAGAGCACAGCACAACCTACATGCCCATGTTGATCCAGAGTGTTGTTAGTGAGCTTCAGTTTTTGGAAGGAGACAGGTTCTTTCATCCAGTGGCTGCCAGGAGCTGGGGAATCTGGGTGGACATAGGTGCGACAAGGGAGCTGGGGCTCTGCTTTTCCAGCAACTTCCCACTGGTCTTTATTCCACTGTGAAGGGACAGACAGAAATCTGGAGCTTAAAAAAATATGCTTTTAGTACAGAAAAGGCCCAGCAAGTTTTCTTCTCAGTCAATTCAGTGCACTCCTCTGAAGCACATGTAGCAGATTCTCTTTTACAAGCCATGATCATGTTACCAAATCAGCTCCAAGTTTAGGCCTCATTTTTCCTCCCTTTCTCCCAATGGCTGCCAGAAAAGTCTGACATTAATCATGATTAAAACTGTACTGCTTACAATGAAAATTAGTTACCTTTCCAGCTGCTCCCCAAGCAAAACTGACAAATAACTCCAGAGAGGCATAAAATCCATCACTTACTTCTGAACTTTGTCCAAAGAGAATTTATTTATCAGTGTGACAAGTGAAGCATAAAGATTAAGCTATTTCAAACAGATGAAAAGACAGCATAAATTCTGTTATTTAAAGCACTTACCTTGTACCTGAAGTTATCCATTGGCACAAAATCTACCAGCATGAGGTACTTGGCATATGGGATTAAGCCAGAGACTTTGATTTTGCATTGAGGAAACATTCGTCTGAGGGAGAAATGAAAAATACAGTATAAAGGTTTCTCTGTGAAGTGGCTGTAAATGATCAAGCAGCATGTCACATTTACTCACTGCTGTGCAAAGCCCTGTGAGCAGTATTTCTCCAGCCAGCCACTGACCATTTGTCCATCTTATTGATGGACTGTCTAGTCCTGTGAGTTTAGACATGATAGACACTAACAGGGCAGCAGTCACTGAGGGCCTGACACTGTTACTGCTTTTGGTCTTCCAATTCCTCTAACACAACAGTGGGAAACTTGAAAGGAACTGTTTGGAGGTTGTACATGGTTCCTGGCCTGCTGCAGCTCTCACAGCCCTGGAGCATGGATTAAATCTGAGTGTGGGTAGAAAACATGCTCTCATCTAAGAGCACACCCAGCTTTCTGTTCCCATATTCCCTGCCACTACTTTTAACTTCTGACTCTGCAAAAAAGCTTTGACAGCTACCTCTCTACCCAAAGGGATTATTCCAGCTCACAGCAGCTTTGACACAATACTTTACAGCTTCACAATTCCATCTTCTTTCACTGCAAGCTCCATAATACATGACTCATTTATACTTCAGTGGAGTCTGCACACACAGATTGTTCCAAGTCTGGGCCACATTTCTTGTCTGCAAACACAGACTCAAACCCAAGCATTTACTGCTCAACTGCTGCTGCCTGTGACCCGGGCAAAGGGAGCCCAGGGCTCTTCCCAGAGCAACCTCAAAGTGACAGGAAGAACACCAATGTTACATGGTGAGATAAGGGTACAGGAGTTTTCTCAGCATGTCAGCCCCACAAAAGACCTTTTGCACCTCACAGTTTGGACTTCTAGAACACCCTGAAAGTGCAATTCCTCTGCCAGGATCAGGAAGATCTGGATAACTGGCTACAAAACCAATTTAAAGGCCACCATTCAAAAAATAAGCATCCGGAGACTTTGACAACAGCTGAGAGGGGTGTGGTGTGTGCAGGCAGCTGTCCTGTGCCCCTTACCTGCCAGATTTGGTGATGATCATCTCAGTTCCTATCTGGTGAAACTTCATCCAGAGCCCCATGTCCTCGAGGGTGACCACGATGGAGCTCTGTGGGAAGGGCTCCAGGCTGGGGGAAGGAAGGGCCTCACACGGCGCTTTCACGTCTGGAAGGAGAAATGAGATGGTGACTCAGGAGGGGAACTCACCCTCAGGGTCTGGGCAGTCTGTGCCACAACAAACCTCTTAAAAACTGCTACTTTTCATTAAAGGATTTTTGTTACTTAGTAGGCTGAGAGGTAGGGAGCCTTTTCCAACTGGTTTGGTTTTAGCTGGTAGGTCCTTTTGTGAGGATCTGTGTGTTGTACCAATTCATCCTAAATTCCATTGTTACAAACCCCACACTGGCAGGTAGCCACAGTCCACTGTTCTGGTATGATCAGGGTTACATAAAACCCTTTATCAAGAGAAAGCAATAGAAGCTGAAAGGACTGGAAAGATTTTAAGTGCACCAGTGGGTAATAGTGGAAAATGACAAGTAGGTGGTAGCAGAGGTGAAAAATCCCCCCAGAAGACAAAGATGAGACAGATAGGAGTCCTAAATGTAAGTGAAGGCAAGAAAAGGAGGTGACAGACTATGGATAGACTACATTCTGAAAAGAGAATGGCTGGTCTGAACTGGAAGTGGAGATGGGGAGCCCAGAGGAGCCTGTGAGAGGGGTGGAAGGTGTCTCTTCACTAACACTCCATGGCAGTGCTGCAATCTTCCTGCTCTCCCTCTTGAGTCACAGGCCCAGCTGTGGGCCTGGGGAAGAGGAAAGGGAAACTATTCTGGAGGAACTGCCTTTGGTGTTGATGCTACCAATCACCTCTGCACAGCTTTGGATTAAAAACCTCCTTAAACCTCTGCTAGGTGCTCTCAGCAATACTGTAAGGCAGGCAAGATTGCTGCTGCCATACTGAAAAGCCCAGTTCCATTTTAGGAGAGAATGTGACCCAGAACAGTTCTGGTGGGCTGAGTTCAGACCCAGCAGGGCTTTAGGAACATTGTCCTGAGGAGGGATGAGGAGCCTGCTCGGTGGGGCACCCACAGCAGCAGAGCTGTCCCAGCTCAGGGCCAGCAGGACCCCTCTGGGTGCTGCATTAGCAGCCAGGCACAGCTATTTGCTTAAAAGGTAGATTTTTCTGCCTCTCAGCCTGATCAGATCTTATTCAGAGCATAGCAGGAAAAAAAGGGAATTTTCACCTTGTTGCAGCTTTCCTGAGTAATACCTTCAAAAGAATATTCACAAAAAGTAGACAACTATTTTCAGAGAAATTAGCTTTTTTCACAAAGGGACGTCTTTTCACCAAAACAACCCAATACAAGTCTAAGTGGTTCTTCCCTCAGGATTAAGAAAACATTAAAATGTAATTTTGTCTGTTTATAGAGGTCTTTAGGCATTTAAAAAAAAAAAATCCCCTACCCTTTTTTCTGCTTTGATCCAACATTAATGAACTGGCCAAGAAGTGACACCTAGTTTGCTCACCAAGATTAGCCTGTTAACATCTTCTTACTAAAGCTTCCCCCATATCCTCTTGCAAAGACATGAAAGCTGCCATGAGACGATGCATTTGGTAGCTCAGTGCAGCACATGTATCAAAAGGAGTTACAATAAAATTGGGCTGATTTCCCACAGGAGCCATCCAGTCACAAATAAATGCAAACAGGTTTTGATTAGCTAGACAGATGCTCACTCCTTCCCCCAAATGAATTTTCAAATTAACATTTCTTTAAGCAAATTCCAATGCCATTAAAAGAGACTACAACAAGGCAGATCTCAGGAGTCTTTAGTGAGGGGAGATTTCCAATGAAGTTGAGGGAATTGAAGTGAAAAGAGTTCAACACTGAATTAAAAATCAAAGGCAGATGTTATAATCTGGATTTTACCAAAATGAGTCCACAACGCACCTGTAGGAGTGCAATGCTGCAGGAGACAGGAACAATAAACGTTACAGCTAAGGTGCAGAAATGCATAGAAATGCAGAAATTCTATTCTGTGCAGATTTTGTGTGCCCAGGCTGAGGCTGAAAAGCAGGACATGGAGAGTGTGCAAGAGGCCCTGGAGCCCAGCAGTGGTGTGAGCTGGTGAATGGATCTGCCCAGCTGCCATTGCCTTCAGCAGGACCCTGCAGTGATGGATGTATTTGTAGGCTCCACTTTGGATTTTGTTTGCAAATTTGGTTTGGATTTTTGTTTCACTCCTAGTTTGTGCCTGTGTAACTGATGGCAAGGCTTAAGCACTCACCCTCCCACAAAGACAGTCTGAGTGTTGGAATTATGGCAGAGAGGTTTGGGCAGAGGGTCCAAGCCCTGAATGGAATTTATGTGAGCTGTACTTCTATGGCTTCCTCTTCTGTGCAACTTGGTTTTAAAACTGTTATTATCCAAAAGAGATTTAAACCTTTCCCAGCAGTTCTACTTTTACTTTGAAAAAAAATATTCCTATTATCATTGTATCCTATTATCATGGTAACACCACACAAACATACATTCAAAATCATGTTCTTTATGTCCAGATGAGGCTGAAAGATAGGAAGCTGCTGTGGTAAAGGCACTGAAAATTAAGAGATCTTCAGTCTATTCTGTGCTTGATGTGAAGGTCCTTATACCAACAGCAGTGCTACAGTTTCTGTATCTAGAACGAGCCATACATATCTTTTTGTCATCTTGGGGACAGAAAGGAAAGAAGGAGAAATGTGAGACAATTTAGCAGTTTGAGGAGGAAGATCTATGGATAGAAGATGTTGGAGTACAACTGCCTCACCTAAAGCAATTCTTCAATTAATTTTCCATTAAAGATAGACAATGTTAAAACGTCAGAAAATTTGTTGCAGCCTTCCCAAAATGTGCAGGATAGGATCTGCAATACTAAATTCCCAAAAAGGGAGAAAGCTATGCTTACCTTGACTAAAATCAGTTATTATTATTATTACATTTGTTGCTGCTCCCTTCCAAGTGAAGCCAATCACTTACAGCTATCAGTGTCCACCGGGGAGGAACACGCATCTATATACAAAGCTTTCTAATAAATTTATCTTGCAACAAGCAAAAAACCCCTCCCATGTTCTCTGATCTTCTCAATGTCAGTAGAAACACCCTGACCCTCTGGAGGGAGCCCCATTTCTCAGATCCAGAGAGTTTTTTGGCAGGAACAAAAGTATGATGTTCTCACAAATGTAATGGCTTCATCTCTCAGATGCATCCAGTCATCTACCTGGAACATTTCTGCTGGAGGGGGTCATACACCACAAACAACCCAGTAAGAAAATGAGGTGAATACTGCAATATTTGGAATCTTTAACATGAAAATACCATGATACATTCTACCTTTTTTCCATTGCTGCTCTTCTGTTTTTCAGCTTGAAATTCAGGTGGCAGAAATCACTATGAATCAGATCAACACAGCAGGGACTGAAAAAACCCAGAGCAGCAGCAAAGGTGGAAATCATCTAAATCACTGCACTTGCATTTTGCTCATGAATGAGACAACATCTTGCAGAGGAAGAGAAAGGAAGCTGAGACTGCCCAGTCACCTCTGATGGGCCTATAAAATGGGCCAGGATTTTTTTCTGATGTAGAGTAAAACCCCAGAGTAAATTTAGGGTTCAGTTGCTCTGACAAAGGCAGCTCCTCTGGGCTGGCCCTTGGTGTCCCGAGGCATCTGTGTCATTGTGCCCAATCCAATCATGCTCCACACAGGAGAGATTAACAGCATGCTATGAGATGGACTGAAGGAAAACATCGTGAAACCCTAAGGAAATCACAAAAATCCCGTGCTGGGTGTGAACCAGTGAGGAGCCGTCGATGCCTGATTGGGGTTCATGCTTTCAAAGGGCATAAGAAATAGGAAAAAAAAGCCCAAACCCAGACAGTTTGTATCAGAATTGTTATTAAAAGTATGTCAAGTATTTCCAGACTTTCTGTGGCCTTCAACCTGAAGAATTCAGTGCTTTGCAGACAATACACAAACACCTCCAGCCATCAGCTGAAGGGTCACACTGCACAAGGTGATGTGGGCAAGGGAGTTTTGGACACAATTGTGAGCAAACCTTTGCTACCTTACAAAAGATCTTCTAAGGCTCTCAAAAAACACTCAAATGCACCATTTTTCATCTACTCCCATGAAAAAAAAGAAAGTTTTTAAATCCTCTCCAGCCCCCCAGGCACTCTTCTGTAAATGCTGGTGAGCACATCTTCCCTTTCTGGCATGAGGCTAGGATCTTTCTGTGCAGTGAGAAAAGGGAAGGAGTCCTTACCTGGTAAAGCTTGCATTTTTCCATGTACTGTGACGTGGAGGAGCTTGCAGGGCCAAGAGAGCCACCAGAGTTCTTACAAGGGAAGCCAAAATAGTCCAGTTCAAAAGCAGGTCTGATTTCCTGAAGCAAGCACAAGCCCTTCCTTCCGAATCCAGTGTCAAGAGTGAGCGGGATGAGGATGGGACCCCAAGCACAGCTAGCCAAGGTGAGTTCCTGTTTTATGGAGGATAATGAGCAGGGAGGAGCTTCCCGCCAGGGCTGTCCCCTTGCGAGCCTTTGATGTCCAAAGGGACAAAGAGAGGAAGGATCTGCAGCAATGGCTGGGGCTAGGGGAAGAAAATCAAAGAGAATTAACATGGCTTTGACATACAGGAAACCCTACAGGGGAAATGCACCTTGATTTACTGCTAACGCACTTTTAAACAAATAGAGACAAGACTGAAAACATCAGTTGAGGACTCAGCTACAAAATAAAAACAAATGCCTTAAGCAGCAAGGAGGGATAATTTCTCTTCAGCTGTTCCATGGGTTTGTGATAATTCTAATCTTCAGCACACAATCATTTTACTCTTGATTCCTGGTATCAGAATCAGGACGGCATCGAGCTCCTTCCTTCCCAAGTGGGTGATTTACAGTCTGTGTAAAGTTTGCTCTCACAACTGGAACGCTGCAGCAAGTCATCCCTTCACCCCCAGGTGCCTTCCCCAACAACATGAACACATTTGATGGTAAAACCTCACTCATCTGCCCAGTTTCTGCATTCCCAGCCCTTAACTGCACTTCCTTTCAGGCACTGAGGTTATCCCTTGCTCAAGGCTCTGCTCTTACCCAGGGAAGGCTGAGCAGAAATGGAAGGGCTTGAGCATTTTCCCTTAATTAGTTTATTCTGCAAGTGTGACCATTAGCTTTTGTGCTTATAAGTGCTTACAAGTGCTAAGAGACAGCAATCAAGGCTCGAGCTCCAGGGCACAACACAGCCACTGCAGCTCCTGAGGAAGGGGGTTCTGTGCATCCACACACACCAATGGCTGTACAAACATTTACAGGACCAAGACAGTCAAAAAGTGGAGCTCAAAAGCAGGATTATCACTCTGAACCGGCCACTGCTGGGTCCTGCACAGCAAATTTAGGAGCTCAAAGAACTTGCTATATAACTGCATCTCTTTCACTGTCTAGATTTATACCAAATAAAATAAATGGTTTTTTCTCTTTTGTCAGTGATGTTACTGATCTTCAGTCTGATGTACAAAACAAATTTTGAATTTATTTCATGAGTTTCTACACCCAAGCATTTCTTCAGTTCTGTTTTTATTGCCTTTTGGAGCAGGCAATGCAAGGACATGCAGAGAGGACAAAGGAGCTTAATCAGAGCAGGGACTGACTCTCTTCCAGTGGTATATTGAATTTTAGGCATCCCAGTGCTATCCAGGGAGAGAAAAACCAATTCTTAGTGTGGTAAGGAAGAATGTTTTAAAGAAAAGGGTTGGAGAATTTGGGAAGTCCTGAGGAGGATTTTATAGCAGGAGGTGGTGCACTGGCTCCTGGCACCTCTGGTGACATCCAGCCTTGCTGGCATCCCTTTTAAACCCTTGGGGAATGCACAACACTACAGGCTTTTCTCCCTCAGGTAGCTTGGAGACACCCAGAGCTGTGGAGCCTCAGCACCACAGAGGAGAGGAATGTGGTGGGGAAATGTCAACTTGTAGCTCAAATAGAAATTATTAATAAATATGTGGAGAAATAAATCAGAAGGGAAAAGGTCAGCTGAAATGGTATCAAGGTCAGATCTCTGCTTGTGCTTGCACAGCCACTACCAGACACAAAATAGGATGCAGAAAAGCTCTTTGCTCTGCTACAGAAGGAAAGCCAGCATCACATCTGCTCCCCCCCTCCATGTCCTGCTTTTCTAATGCTAGTATTTTAATTGTAGAAAGAGGAAAAAGACAACCATAATCAGAATCTGAAAAGGAAAAATAGAACAAAAATTGGGTCAGATTCAAGCTAGCAGTGAGATGAATCAACATCCCACACAGTCAGAAACCGCACAACAGCAGCAGCAGCTCTGGGAATTTCAGACTTCACCTGACAGGAGCGTGGGATGTGTATCATGACTTACTGCTGCTTCCACAAAGGCTATGAGATGGTCTCCTGCTGCCACTTCATTTGCACACTGTGTAGCAGCATGTCTGGGGAACGCACATTTGCTACAAGTACTCAAATCCTTTTGGCTTCTCCCAGCTGATTGATGAGGAAGGTGGAGCCATTAATTACCCATGACTAGTTAACAACCAGTTTTCTCCCAGCCCTTCTAGTTGCACTGGAAATGTTTTAAAAGTGAAAAAAAAAGTGAATTTGTTACTATTGCTGGAAAGTGTGGCTAATAGGAGCAATCCCCAGGAAATTCATCCCTAGCAGAGAGGGAATTTAGCACATCACCCTCATCTGTCCATCCACGGAGAGCCCTCAGGCAGTTTGATGGGAAGTTGGAGGTAAATGTGCTGGTGTCTAACAATTCACTGGCAAATTGGAGGCTGAGGGTGTGGAAAGGGACGGGAGAGAGAGTGGATGTGACACGTGTGAGCCAGTGACACACACACAGCTCTGCTCTGAGCCCCTTTACAGCAGCAGGGATAAATCCAGCTCTAACAGCAGGCTCTGCCCTGTGCTGAAGGGATGAGGTAGGGCAGGAGGGAGGGGATGTGTGATGACAAAAGCAGAGGCCAAGAGCTTTTGCTTTGCATCTCTTTGAGAAGATGATTAGAAAGAAACATTCCCCCTTTGGGTTTTGTAGCAAGGCAAATGTTTTCTGGCATATCTCTCCACCTTGAGTAAGGGTTTAACCCTTACTGGACCGGGCAGGGAGCTGGTTTGTGCACAACAGCTCTCCAAGAACACAGTGATATCCTGCAATCGCTGGCTGCTGCCTGGGGCTCCCAGACTGCTGGAGAACAGATAAGGTGTCAGGCTTTGGCTAATGGGGCTGGAGTGGCACTGCAGCTTCTGCAGAGCTCCCAGGAAAGCAAGCCCAGAGAGCAAGCTCCAGTGTGAGGCACAAAGTTACTGCCTGGGAGACAGCTGGAATGTAAAAGTCACCTTCCAAAAGAGCCAGCCTCGGATCATTGCTCGTGAGTGCAGTAGCCAGTACCCAACCCTCAGGTTTCCCTCTCTGAGAAAGTGTTGCCATATCAGCTTTAACAAACTGGGCTAAAGCCAGGCTGCCTTGTCTGCCTGGATCTGCACAAGCAGGAAAGGACAACATGGAGCAGTGCAAACTGCACCTAAGAGATCCTCCCCTCTGAAACGTGAGGAAAGCCTTCCTGCCACTGAAATGGGATTCATTTTGCTGATTCCCATCTGGCACACACAGGCCACAGCCCCAGAGCATCTTGGCAACTCTTTGTGAAGGATCCTCTGCCATCTGCACAGAAGTACTGGAAAGTGAAAAGACAACATGTCATCAACAGGGCCCAAAATAAACCAGATAGCTCATCACTGATACCTACTTCATTAAAAACATGAAGTGGCCTCAGATTCTCCAGAATCCACAAACTGGCTCCTTAAATCCAGGCTCATCTCACTGTGGAGCAAATGCAGCCTGGTTTATGCACCCAGGGCCATGGGGAAAAGCTGAGATTTTCCAGAGAAAAAGCCTGGTGAAACTGTTGCTCCTACAGCTGTGCCAGCATGAGACTCCTTGTCCTTGTTAGTGCCTGACACATCACCCAGAAAATAGGAAATACAAGTGCAGGGTTGGCCAGGACAGAGCTGCTGAGCTCTGGCAGCACAGGCACAGCCTGAACTTGGGTAGCTTTCTGAGCAAGTCTCTGTGGGCGGCTACAGGAATGGTAAAAGCCTGCAGAGTGTTTTGAGAGCCTCTGAAGAAGTGGTACATATCTCCTGTCATGCTGCAGCACAAGAAACAGTTCCTACCCAGCTCCTTACAGCAGCTCACACAACACAGCATTTTCTTCTGATGGAGGGAAATGGCAGCTTTTCCCTTTCTTTTCATGGTTTTGATTGATTTTTTCCTGAGAAATGCTATCTGGTGTCTTCAGGTACATTACAAGTGTCATGCAGACTTTTCTACCGTGGGACCAATGCACGGGACCCCACAGAGACCCCAAATCTTTCCCGTGTTCTCAAGAGTGCAAAAATGACATTTGGCAGACCAAAACAGCTGTTTGGAGAGGGCCTGTTGGTAACATCTCCACGCTAATTCACCACAGGGTCCCAGGACAGAGGCTCAGTGAGCTGTGGGGACGGGTCACGGGCTGCAGGGCAGCTGTGACAGGATCTGTTCTGGAAGGGAGCGTGGGAAAGCAGCTCAGGTACACAAGAAGTTGTACATGATAAGCTTAACACAAGACTTTTCCTTTTGCAGGTTTGTGGATTGAGGTATCTGGCTGCAAAGCTGAAGAGGACACTCCCCTGCCTCTCTCCCTGACATCTGCCCTGTGCAGTGCAGCTCTGCTCCCATCCCTGCTCTGTGTCCTGCTCCCATCCCTGCTCCCATCCCTGCTCCCATCCCTGCTCTCTGTCCTGCTCCCAGTCCTGCTCCCATCCCTGCTCCCATCCCTGCTCTGTGTCCTGCTCCCATCCCTGCTCCCATCCTGCTCCCATCCCTGCTCCCATCCCTGCTCCCATCCCTGCTCTGTGTCCTGCTCCCATCCCTCCCTCAGCATGGGGACAAGAAGGGAAATACTTAGCGGCCACTTAACACTGCAGGCTGAGCTCTGCCTCAAAGGCTGCAGTCCAGAGTCAAATGCAAAATGTGTCTGTCTAGAGCCCTTTCAAGTTCTCACAGACTCCTGATGTGGGTGCACTGTTTTCCTGTCATCCCATTGTGTTTCCCAGACACAGCTGAGTGCTCTGTCCCGCTCAAATCCACAAAAAGAACCTGCTGAAAGGACCCGGGGCAGCAAGGAGAGCTCTGCAGACAGCTCGGCCAAGGGCACCGAGCAGGAGCTGCCTTTCCAGCCCTGCATCCTCCCTCCCACACCTGGAGCTCCAGCCCTGCATCCTCCTTCCCTCCCACACCTGGAGCTCCAGCCCTGCATCCATCCTCCCTCCCACACCTGGAGCTCCAGCCCTGCATCCATCCTCCCTCCCACACCTGGAGCTCCAGCCCTGCATCCATCCTTCCCCCCATACCTGGAGCTCCAGCCCTGCATCCTCCCTCCCACACCTGAAGCTCCAGCCCTGCCTGGCAGCCACAAAAGATCAGCCCAAGAAAACAGGCAGCAAATACCTCTGGCTTAACATCCATCTAGAAATACTTCTCTGTTTGTACACACGTGCACACACTCATCTGCAAAGATCATCGTGCAGATCTTCACAACTGCTGGCAGTTTATTTAACCATGAATTGAGACCAGACAAAAGCCCTGAGTGGAATGGATTCTGCTGAGCAGAAGCCCAGCAGGCAATACTGCTGCAGTCTCTGTTAAATGCTGATTTTCCACAAAAAAAGCAGCAGCTCAGACCCAGAAGGTTTTATCTAAACTTCGTGGAATTTCGAGACTGCTGATACACCATCATTGTACCTTGGTTTCCACAAAATATTACTTTTGTTGGTGATCAGGCATTTGTAAAACCAGGAAACCAAACTCAATCAAGCTAATTACGTTGTTTGACGAAGACAGATCTCTTCTGTCATAAGGAAGTTTCATTCTTCACTGTTCATTACAGAAAGGTTCTAATCAAACCAGGAAAGCAATAAACATCTATAATTCCTTATCAGAGGAACTACCTTCAAAGAGCAAATTAAAATTAAGATTTAAAGTGTTTGGAATTGAAAAATAAAAACTGCTGTGAACTCTACAGAGCTGCGTAGAGCTCAGTTCCTCCAGCATCACTATTGCCTCTGAAGAACTTGCTGAGGAAGTTAATTATCATTACCAGAAATCATGACAAGAGAACAATTAAACCATACACAGCAGAATTTGATTCGGAGCACTTACAATAAATCCCGTTTCATTTCAAAAAGATTTTATTGCTGCGTATTTCTTTTCCTTTTATAGTATTATTTATAATTTCTTTAAAAAAGAACTGTAAAAAAATTATATAGCCATAGGATACATCCATCTCCCAGCAGCAAGGGAACTGAACACAGTCTGACCTGTAGAGTCTGAGCTGAGCTTTAGAGGATCTCCCAGAAATAAAATGAACACCAGGACAGATTCATGCAGCACATCCTGCAAGATGCATTTTGAAAACTGATATGGGGCATCCTGATGCATCAGCAGCAGCAAAGCCTGAAGTCAGTAACAAAGCTGGAAATACATATGGATTATAAGCAGAAAGCCCTTGGATAGACTCTGAGCTGTACTTTTTCTCACCCAACTTGTTCATCACCTCACAGAAAAATGGTCAATCAGACACAGCTGTCGCTTCTCCTTGCACTCCCTCATCTCTCCAGATTTTTTTTCCTTCATTCTTCCCACAGTGCAATTTCTCCTGGAGGTTTTTGTTGCAGGCAGGGGCAGATCACAGCCCGGGGCTCCCTCCCCCTCCCAGCAGATTGTGAAGTGTTTATGACCTGGCTCTTATGGCTCTAGAGGTGCTGAATGGCCTTTTCCCCCCTCGAGTCTCAGCTCCTGATGGGCAGCTACAGACCAACTTTTAGCGGGTTTGGTCCGTAGTTGTGGATTTTATTGCCCAGTTTGTCTCTTCAGCTCACATTTGTAAGCTCCAGAGTAGATTTTTCCCTGGGTAACACTCTGCAGCTCAAAGAACTCCTCTTGTTTTTATTACATCCTTAGTGATTAAAGGGATATTTAAACCTCACAATGTTCCCTGCTGTGAATATAAAAGCCTAACATCATTTCGGATAGATGTGCTTAGAAAAATAAATTAAAAATTAGCCCTACTATATCGAACAAATGCTTCTAAGTGGTTAAGAACATCAGACACCTAAATGATTTAAATATATGGGATGCAATTCCTTGAGAAACCAAGGGATGACACATGGCTTTGTCCAGTCAGAACAGTTAAATACACAAATTTCCCTTGGAAGGAGGACAACAGAGGTGTGCAATGAGTGCATTATACTGCAAATACTGGATTTTATCTACTTAGGCAGAAGTGACTTAGATTTCTCCTCTCTAACTCTGCAAACATCAATGCACTTAATAGATGCCACTCTTAAAAACACAAATTTGGCATTTGTGAGGTAAAACTGTTTTTAAATGACTGCCACTTCACAGCCTGACCTATACCTGCCAAACCTAGATACAAACAATGCAATGTAAATTCAACAGAAATATTCACAAATTCTTCTCAGAAAAGTGCTGGGGAGTGTGCAGGAGGAAATCAAATCACCTTTGGGAGCAAGCCAAGCATTGCTGTGAGCACAGATGGGATGGTTATCAATACTGATGGTTATCAATACTGAGCTCACTGGGTTTGCCACTCTCCAAAACTGCAGTTCCTGGTTGAAGTTTTTGCAGGAGCTGCTGCTGGGCTCAGGTTTGGTGAGCTGAGCCTCAGATGGAGGTTTGGACTCACCACCAAGGCCTTCATTTGCAAACAACTCTGAGAGCGCAGAGAGAACCCGGCACACTTGGAGGCCTTGTGCTCTGCAGGACAGGACAGGACAAGTTACAACAGCAGCTGGGGGGGCTGGTTTAGATTAGCAGAAACCTGCAGCAAAAATTTGAAATCTAAGCCCATACATGGTCCCCCAGTATGTCCTTCTGGCTTTTTTGCTTTGTATTTCCTCTCCAAGATGGAATGACTCCTTCTCTTCCCTTTGCCCCATAATCTGAAGAAGCTGTCGGGAATTGCTGAATTCTGGAATTTTTCACCCCAAGTCCAGATTTTCCCCTAAGAGAAGATCACTTTTGTTTTGAACAGTGAAGTTCAGCCATATCCACCAATAAAAATATGGTAATATTAAGGAGGTTCCCTTACAGAGGTGATTTCTAGGGTTTTCTGCACTAGGTGTGATTTCATTTCCTCGTTGAAAATATAACCATAAATATAACCAGAGGGTACATATGTGAAAATAGCACATAGCTGAGCAGGAAAGTGGCAGGGACTCTTTCTGGGAGCCTGCTGAAAAACAAACTGACAAAACCACAAGTAATTCTTATCACCTCATTATCAAAGCTACTGGGGAACTGGAGGGAGACTGGATGAGGTGAACACCAGAAGAGATTAGAGGAGTTGGTTAAGGAAAGCTTCCATGATTGATGGCCCTGTTCACAAAGAAGAAATGAACATGTCTGCAGGGTGTAAACATACAGATGACAGAGGAAATAATATTCTACAAAGGGATATAATTATCTTCATTAGTTGGGATGAAAATGAGAGAGAAGCAATTTGACTATCCAGGAAAAAACACTGTGGCTGTGCAAGCCTGTTCTCAGAGGAACAGACAAAGTCCTTCCTGTATTAGGCTTTTAATGGCTTTCTGCACACACCAGTGCCACTGCAGAGAACAATTCTGCCTTCATGTGAGCAGTAAAGAAGGCTCTGGTGGATCTGCTCCTCTCTTATTCCTACAACTCCTCAGATGAGCACTAAATGCTGTCAGGGGCCATGTGAAGAAGGGAGGTTCTGCTGGCACAGGAAGAGGACAGAACCCGGGCTCACTGACACACTCTGGGTTACAGCACTACACATCTCCCCTATCTCTACACATCATAAGTCACAAAAGAGCAGCTATCAGCTCCCAAGGGAGGTGTGACTGCAATAGAAACACCACTGACCTTGGGAGAGCACTCCTCTTCTGCACTCCAGGTCACAACGAGGGGACAGGTGACAAGTTATGGAGCCACTGGGTTACATGTCCCACAAAGTGCCTTTGGGTGACAGTGGAGATACACAAAAGCCACCAGCCATTGTGTGAGAGCTGACAAAAGATTGATCCAGGGATGAGAGAAGCATTTTCTCTGCAATTCTGAAGCACAAAGTTTATGAGCTGCTCTCTGGGCCTTCAGAGGGCTTCAAACAGCCCTCAAGGGAAAGAAAAGAACTTCAGGTTACACAACCATACCCACTCTGTTCCTTTAACTCCTGCACAGTGTTCTTGGCTCACCAAGTCATTTTCTGTGTTCTAACAAACTCCTGCCACAGGCAGCTCCTCCCTTTTTCCATCACAACTTTCTTTTCTATCCCTTGATAACCAAGAACAGGCCAGAAACAGAACATTCCCTGTGCTGACAAGTCCTTTCCTTTGAGAAATCCAACCTAGGGCTGTTCTTGCAACAAACTGGGATGGACAATACCTCCCTCTCTTCTGTTTCAGCCCTTAATGTTCATAGAAGTGCCAGATTCAGCTCTGAAGTCCTTTTTACCAGAACTGACATAGCTCTGATCGAGGCAGTGGGTATTTCTCATGGATTCTGGACAGGAGTATGTCCATCTTTGTCCAATAAGGTCAACCTTGAGACTGACTTCCCACCCTTCAAAACCTGGGTTATGGTCTCTGATTAGCAGAAATGCAGCAAACCCATCAACCCATTGTTTAAAGATGGCTTTAACCTTGCAGAGAAGTAAAACTCACATAGCAACAGTTATTTAGGAACAGAACTTGTCAGGTTCTGGTTTAGCACTTACTGCCTGAGTTTTTTCTTGCCTGAAGACAAATGAAAATATTCCTGCAGAAATACAGATCTTGTTCAATTTGCACCAGGATCAGTCAGAATAAAGGAAATCATCACAGTTACCTGCATGCCCTCCTGACCAGCTTTGGCTTCTGCAGTGCAGCCATCTTCACTGATTTTGTGACCCAAGGAGCTCCAAACTGCTTCTGTGCCACATCCTCATCAGTCAGTTCTGTCTGGCATTAGGTGAGGCAGTGCCAACAAATCTGCAGTGGGATTATCGCTATCATTAAAAGGTTTTCTGACAAGCCCGGCCTCACAACTTGTTTGCCATCCCCAAAGTTAAAACTGAAGCCTGCATCTTATTCAGCAACACACCAAGGGCATTCAAGCCTCAGTCTGTTCCTGCTTGCAGAGATAAAAGTTGCATTAATGGATGAAGATAATGTGGGAGACAGTTATTCTTGAGCAAACTCTGCCCAAGCCAATCCTGGGTTTCCCGACAGCAGTTCTGCCCCAGCTTTTCCAGAAGGTTGTCTTCAGAAATGGAATTAGGCCCTTAAGAAAGCTGTCTTTCAAATGCATTTACCAAACAGAGGACATCTTAAAACTCAATGTACTTATGCTCTCATTCCATGTTTAGCCAAACAGTGTTAGAGTTTTTCTTCAGCAAAAATAAAAGCAGCAGAATCAACCCTCCCCAATTCCAACATCATTCTCCAGCAGGCAAAATGCTAAATCCACACCAGTGTTTTGGCAGTGAGGAAATATTCCCAAAACAACAGTATCACAGCAGTAATGTCTTCTGCTCTGGAAATGTGTTACCTTGATGTTTATATAGCCACAGGAGACCATTCAACAATGGCAATGTGTTAATTCCATTGACATTATCGCTCAAATTCAGTCACAGGGGCTGGCGAATTCTTTTTTTTACATGGCTCTTTCATCTAAAAGAGAATAAAGCAGGACATAATGGATGGTTAGTAACATATTGTTAAATGGTTACAGGACACAGGAAATTTCAGCTGGGGAATGGGAAAAACTGAAAAATCCAAGTAAGTCTTTATTAGAATAAGGACTTGGTTTTGCTGCACTCACTGTGCCAATTTCTCAGCATTCAGACTTAAGGATTCTCCAAAAACACTGAGCATGTTCTACTCTTACATGAGCAGACAGTTTTTAGTCCTCTCCAGAACTCTGCTCATGGGAAGCTCTGAGTTACTTGGAGTTATTCACCATCACAAAAACCCAGCTAACTTTTTGTGTTGCTCTCATTTAACTTAATTATGGAAGTGGTTCCTAGTGGATGCTCATATTCAATCAGTCACTCAAGATGAAAAACCCTGTAGTTTTACCCTAAATTGGCTAGAAGATAAAATGATAAACAATTTATGACCTATAAAAATGTCCTAGCTGCAAATTCAGTGGCCATTAAGGAGAGGAGGGGACAGTTTTGTACGAGTAGTTTCTATTTAACAGAGACAGAAAATGGAAGACAAACTGAAAATCTCACCAGCTAGTGGGAAAGCTCTGAGGCAAAACTGAGTTCTTTTGACTTATGATTTAACCAATAAATCAATGGTGTTATAATGAAATAGATACAGAACCCAGGAAGAATGAGCCAGCTTCAAATCCATCTTATTCCAAACCTATCACCAGTTCTGCTGCTGCTGTTCTCAGAGCCACCAGGATTTCCTTGCTGGAGCAATACCAGCCACTGGGGGAGAAAAGCTGCTAAAGAAAAAGATATTCCTAATAAACACTACCTCAGGAATCACAGGAAGAAGGTGTTGCTAAACAGAACTTACACCAGTTGTTCTGCAGAGTTCCTCTATATGCCATAGCCACCGTAATTTCAGGGAGAAGTAATTAGGGCTGAATTTTTTACAGCAGAGATATTTCCACCTTTCCTTGGCCTTTTGCATTTTTCTGTGGTTAACTGTGAACTTCTGAGTTTGCACGTAGTAAGGAAGTCAAGTCTGTTTATTTTAAAGCAGCTAATTTCCATGGAAACTTTAGTTGTAGAAATACTTTATGTCACTGAAGAAACTGTACACATCATAGGCCTAGGGTGACACAACCTGAGGCTGCTCTTTGCTGTCTTCACTGAAATCAAGAGGAGCTAATTTATGTTTTGGTACCTTGCTGAATCAGGCACATCTTTAAGAAGAAAGATTGTCCTCCTCCTCTTTCCCTCTTCACTTGGAAACAGCATTTCCACATTTTCATATTCTTTCCAGGTACTTTTCCAGAGGTGTTGATGGTACCAGGTAACAGACACTGCTGTTGTAACTGAAACACCACCACACCCCCAGCCTGGACATTTCCACATCCTGGGTATTTCTGAGTTTCACTGACATTGCAACATGTTCACCTTATTAAAAAATAAAATGCAGCAGGAGTTTTTAATTTAAGCACAGACTATTTACTCTCACACTTAAATCAAATTCTCTGTTATCTAAACGTGAAGGCCCCAGTTTGGAGGGTGACACCTGCAGAGCAGCAGCTGAATGAATGCAGAGTTGTTAAGGCCCTTGTGTCTGGCTCTCAACAGCTGCCAATACACGTCCAGAGGCTCAGCCAGGCCAGGCAGCTGCACTGGGACATCTCCTGTGGCAAGGGGGAGGCAGTGCAAGACATGCAGGGATTAAAACAGCCCCCAGGCTTTCTAGCAATCCTGCACCGCTTCCTCATCCTTCTTACACTGAGGAAAGCAGCTCTACTAACAACTCCCAAGGAGAAGTACAGGCCTGGTAAAATGTGGCAGTGTAGGAGAATCCTTGTGCAGGATTTTTCACTGGAAAATCCATTTCTGAGGCAGTGAAGGTGTGCTGGTGCCTCCTGGCTCGTGCCAGTGAATGCCCTTGGCTCCTCTGGCTGCTGCAGCAGCAGCCACGTCTGCCCTGCCCCATGAAAACGTGAGCCCTGCCTGGACACCAGCAGCTGCTGCTGGCAGAATCCAAAGGCTTCCTCAGCTTGCAGAGCAGTGGGATCACAGACCAGGTTATCAACATCCTCTGCATTTCTGTCTGCTGAAATCCTTTACAATGTGCAATCCCAAGCTGTTATTTCGTTCCAAGCGAGCCAAAGTGAAAAATCACCTTGTAGCACTGCTGCTTGCTGTGAGGAAACACGTCAGGCTCTTTGTTTTGCTCCCAGGAAAGCCCATTTACTTATTAAGTGTAGGAAGCATTTCCAGCAGGGTGTCTGTGGGGAGAGCCATGACAGAAGTTATTTGTTTGAACTTGTGCTGCTTACTTGAGGGCACAGCATTGCAAATTGATGTTGTAAGCTCAGAACTTCCACTATGAATTTTAAAGTTGATTTTATTTTCCCTAACCCACTCAAACCTAATGGAGATCTAAATTATAGCCAAGACATTCCTAAGTGAGGAATTTCTAAATTCAGACTGCTTTCTGACATCCACACAGCATGGTGAGTTTCTTGGTGAGTATGCTGGCTCAATTAACAAGTTAAGCAATTCTTTGAGCATCTAGTGCCATCTTTTAAGGAGAAAATTATCACTGCAATCTTACTGAAAGAGCTGCATTTTATATATATATCCATGCATTTAGAAGAGAAAATGTAACTCTTCATACACATTAGGGTGTAATTTAATGTAACTCTTCATACACATTAGGGTGTAATTTAAGGAAATTAAATCTCTGGTGTGACTTAAATCACAAGGAATCAAAGAACTCTTCTGAGTATGAAGCTTTTCTGCTCATACAACATCCTTTACTAATTATTACTGAACAGTATGTGTTCAGTGCTATATTAGATCATAGTTCATGCAATGTATATTGCAAATAAAAAACTGAGTTGCAGATTATTCCTTGTGCACAGCCCTCTGTATCTGTCAGACACCTCAGAGGAGCAAAATGAAAGGAATGTGAATATAGAGGCAGGTTCTTAGGCTAACTGTGGATATATGTAATAATTCAGCATTCTCACAGGAAGCACTGTTCCTGAAATACCTTTGCCCTGGTATTATAGTTATTATATCTCTCAGCTAAAATTAAATTAATACCATCCCAATGTGGTTCTCATATGCTTATACCATATATGAACTTGGTTTATATTCCATTTATACTGGAATTCACTGTTGTCTGCAAGGTCTCTGAAAGAGATGGGAGAGAAAAAATAGGCTGAGAAATAAAACTTGAGAGGGGGATATCTATGTCTAATCTGAGAGCAAAGACTACTTTTTACCATATATGTTGACTTGGCTTTACATAGGCAGTTTCCTTCAGGAAGACAATGCACTTAGAGAGACATTGCAGAGTGCTCCTCCCACTGGGATTATATAAAGGAATGTTTTTCCACCAGCTACAGACACAACCATTTAATTGCGCAGATAAATCTTGCACGCAGGCAGAAGTGTGATTTTACTTTTCCCCTTGGGAGAAGTGATTTGGTTTTTCTGATTCTGCAGTCAGTGCGTGGCCTCAGCTCCACATCCCTGCTCCCCTTCCCGAGCTGCCAGATGGCTGCAGGACCTGATCTCACCTCAGGGCTGCTCCAGATAACAGAGACTGTCTTACAAGATTTTATCCAGGCTTGAACACTGTGTTTTTCTTTCCCTCTCATACACATTTTTATCCCTGATTAGAACTTGACTTGAACAGAGCTACCTCGAGTTGTGTGTTTGTCACTGGCTCAGCTATGCCAGCACAATCCCCATGCCACTGCCATGAGCCAGGGCATTAATTGGGGCTCACACTGATGAAGCTGAACACATAATTTGAGCCCTTTCACACAAGACTGACTGTCAGGAGATACCCAAGACACCCCAGCGCTGCACATCATGAAAATGGAAACACCCAGGGGGCTTCCTATGGGGGAATTAAGGAGGAAAAAAAGGGAAAAACAGTAATGGGGCAGATTTTGTGTGTAAAGCAAGTATATAGTGGATCTGTTTTCCTGCCAAGTATCAATATTAATGGTGACAAAGCAAGCTCTTGTTTTTGTTACCATGGCCAGGGACACAGTCCTGTAACAGCCCATGAGGATTCTCATTCCCTCTGCCTCCAGTCAGACCATACATTATGCAAAGGACATATGGTACAGTAGCAGAAAGCCCTTAGAACTCAGTGGGGTCAAAACCAGCAACGCACTGCAGTCTCAGCAGTTTCAAGATAAATCCTGGACATCCATTTAGGGTGGGGGTTGCCCTTCCTCCCCTTTTTTCCCCTCCCTTCCCTCCTCTGTCCTAGGGCCCCCTCTAGTGCTCCTGGAGCAGGCAGTGTGGCTGCCAGGGGAGTGGGACAGCCCCGGGCACCCCCAGCCAGCAGACACCTGCACAGAGCTCCTGCTGAGGCCACTGAGCCCAAAGACAGCTTTGAGGGCTGGACCAGAGGCTCTGGAGTTGGCTAAACAAGCACTTGCTGATGGGTGTCATCATCACAGATGCATTAAACCAACAGCAGCAGGAAAAATATGTCTAACCCAGGGAGATGCACCTTTTATCTCTGCTGATTACCTGGGATTCTGTAGGCATTAATGTCAAAGAGCCATTTGAGTGAAGGTAAATCATCCTCCAGAAGCCAACAAACCCAGATGTTTGCCCTCTGCAATCCTACCTGTTCCACCATGCCCTGCAAGGACAGCTGAGTCCCACAAAGGCATAACTTGGGCTAGTTCAGCCTGTGCTTACCTAACCCTGAGGTTACTCTAAAACCCATAAACAACATCACAATTTAGTATTAGTGGATCCCTGGTCATTAGCTGGAAGGGAAACATGGCAATTACCACTCAGCCTGCATTCAACCTCTTACCATCATCTTCAAATGCAAGAGCAAAGCCTCTTCCTCCCGGCTTTCCATGACTAAGAGGCCACAGAATTTATGTCTGCTGTGCTTTTTTATTTTTCATGTGCAACTCAACTCATTTATCTGTCACCCAGGGCCCTAAAATATGGAAGCACCTGCAGGAGCAGAAATG